TGACCTTTTTGATAGCTTTATTGCAGATGCAGACCTAAGCCTCCTCTTTCTGAAAAGTGTGAACTCTGTATCCTTGGTCCACATTAGTGAGGATGGAACCGTTAACACCAGGCTTGAAGTGAAATCCTCAGAACCAAAAGAAGTTGCTCTGAAGCAAGGAGATGAATCAGACACTGAAGGCTTGACAAGATTCAAGTTGGTAACTCTAAATTCAGAAGAGCAGAAAGAAACAAAATGGCTCCTAACAACATGCACAATGAAAAAGGATAAGGTACCAAACCTGGATGTTCTGGCCAAAAAGCTGAGTTTTTTACCTAGAGTTGACTTAGCATTCCCACTTGACGAGCACAGAGATGGTAGTCATGGCAGACTGAGCTGCTTTCTCCCTCTCCCAAACAATGAGTCCAACAAGACCGGTCTACCAGTTCATGTCAACGCCTGCTTTGGCCTCACAGACAACAGAAGGCACATCAAGTGGCAAGAAGAAGACCAGAAACATGACGAACATGCTTTATGGAATGAGTTGCTAGTAAAGCAGGTTCTACTACAAGCATATGTGCTGCTCATTCAAGATGCCATTATACTTTGTCAACAATCTGCTTTTCCTCTGTCTTCCGTGTACAACCTGTGGCCTGATGTTACTCAGATGCGACACAAAGACAAGTGGCTCAATGTTGCTGTGGATGTTTTTCATCACTTGTTCAATGAGGACATGGCTGTTCTCTCTCTAGCCAGAGATGAGACCCAGTTTATCCCTTTATCAGAAGCTGTGATACCCTGTAATGGTCCAATATCACTTGACACATTATTTGCCATTAAAAGGACTTTGGTTTCCTGTGGAGAAAATCTTGTGAGTCTACCGGCTAATGTACTCAGGGCCATTGAGGTCTATCCACACACAAATCCAAAACATGTGACGCCCAGCTTCCTCAGAAAGGTGCTTCATAGGTCCGGCGGTGTTCATAACATAAATAAGGAAGACAAACTGTGTATATTGGAGTACATATTGAGTGATAGAGAATACAAAGAACTGGAGGGTCTTCAGCTCCTTCCACTCAGTGATGGATCTTTCAGATCTTTCACAAAAAAGGAGGAGGACACTGCTTTCATTGACAACAAGGATTTCCCAAGGTTTGATGCTTTTAGACATTTTTAGACAGGTGATATCATGTGGCATTTTGGATTAGTTGGCAAAAATGTTTGCTGTATGGTTGATTGTTAAACATTAAGGCCAGTTTGCTTGATTTTCTCATTTTCTTTAATCAGTGTATGCAGGGCAATTTTGACCCAGGAGCAGGCTTTAATTTACTATACCGTAAGTTCTCTAATATTGGCCTGTATTCCAATAGCGGCCGGGACTCTAACATTGGCCGGTCTCGCTGTCAGAGGAGG